AATACCCAAACAAACAAAAAAAACCCCACCCTGGAATCATAAGCTAGAACTTATCATAAGTATTTTAAATCTCAAATCATTATTGACAAGATGGACACATTCCACATTCAGGTATGACAGCTGATGAGTAGTCATATTCAGAAAATGTTGCCCATTTCAGGTACATATACTTTCAAAGCTGGCAACATGGGGTAGTGAAACATCCTAAGCTTTAAAGACATAGATCTACACAGAACTTCAGAAAAGGGATGAGAACAGAATCAAGAGTAATACAAAAATTACAAGAATGGACAAAAGAATTTAAAATTTCTTTTTAATTTTTTTTAAATTTTTATTTATTTATGATAGTCACAGAGAGAGAGAGAGGCAGAGACACAGGCAGAGGGAGAAGCAGGCTCCATGCACCGGAAGCCCGATGTGGGATTCGATCCCCGGTCTCCAGGATCGCGCCCTGGGCCATAGGCAGGCGCCAAACCGCTGCGCCACCCAGGGATCCCAAGAATTTAAAATTTCTGTCAGAAATATAACTTGTGACAAAATTTTTATAAGTATAGAACTGGCTTAGTATTATCCAGCAAGAAATTTTCTTGATTTGACAAAATCAGGAAGAACAGGGTTGAACTTCTATGGATTTTCACAAATGGGAAGCAAGAAAAGTTAATTGCACATAATCTGGACTTACATACATATTTAATGATTCTTATTGTCCTAAGAAAAACTAGTTTTTCTTCTCAGCTCAATGCATTCTCAAGTGTAAATGAATTCAAAAACCCTTGCAGGGGCGCCTGGGTGGCTCTGTTGGTTGAGCAACCAGCTCTCGATTTCAGCTCAAGTCATGAGATGAGGGTCCTGGGAGCAAGCCCCATGTTCAGCAGGGAGTCTGCTTGATGATTCTCTCCTCTACCCCTCCCCCTTCTTGTGCACACTCTCTCTCAAAAAAGAAATCTTTTTTAAAAAACCTTGCATAAATTAACATGAAGAGAGCTGTATTATAAAAAGACCACAGAACAGGTAGATACACTAACAGGGTCAGAACCTATACTTGAAATGACTTGAAAATGATGATCAATAATTAATAATGCAGAGAATTCTTTCAGTGTCTAGGAAAAACTTCAGTTACCAAGAAGAATATTCCTCATGCAACTAGGAAAAGAACTTGCAAGAACTAGGAAGAGAATTTTACCTAACCCTTCAACCACATCAGTTTTTTACACAGATCTTCAAAGTGGGAAGAATAAAGGAAGATTTTCTTTGTGTACATATAAAAACTTTTAAAAGTATGCATATTCATTGTAGGGTTGGTATGTAAGTAGAGGAATGATATATATTTGTTTTTCATGTTTCAAAATACATACAAAGAGATCATGTTTAAATTCTAATCAGAAGCTCTACTGAGTTGTATTATCCATTTATTCTATAAATTACATAATGGAAATTATTAAAATAATTTAAAATGCAAAAAAAAAAAAGAAATAGTTCTTTTCAATCTAGATGGTGAATTGCACTATTTTTCCTGGTATAATGATAGTTAAGAGTCCTTAAAGAAAATTGCTTTGTAGCTGGGCAGCCCGGGTGGCTCAGCGGTTTAGCGCCGCCTTCAGCCCAGGGCCTGATCCTGGAGACCTGGGATTGAGTCCCGCATTGGGCTCTCTGCATGGAGCCTGCTTCTCCCTCTGCCTGTGTCTCTGCCTCTCTTTCTTTCTCTGTCTATAATTAATTAATAAAATCTTAAAAAAAAATTGCTTTGTAGAAATGAATAAAAACTTCAAACACACATTTGATACAAACTACCAAGTAAATCATTATTTTTATCTTTAAAATAAGCTGACTGAAAACTCAAATCTTATGAGTCCTCAGAAGCAGGAAAAGATAAACTATTCAGAATTACATATTTAATTAATGAACATGTCATAAATAAATATATCTCCCCCTTTCAAAAGTTAGTTTCGAAATGGAACAAAACATCTTGTCAACAATCTCCAATTTCCTATCAGTTAAAACTATAGTTTACATTCTATTTACTAGAATTGTTATTCCATTCAGATATATCCCCTGCTGAATTTGTACAGGAAAAAAAAAATCGTGGTATGGTTCTAAATGTTCTCTTGAATAAATATAGTATGGGAGAGGAGTGTATAAAAATTATTTATTCCTTTCCTTTGCCTTCCTGTCCCCTACTGATAAAGCCAATTCTGAGTAGTAAAACACTGGACTAAAGCAGGGCTGGACTAGATAACTTAGCTGGTACAAATGGGCTGAAGTGGGAATGCTGAAATTTATAATTCTCCAACATTTAACTACCTCAGAACTCTATTAATCACAGCTCCCTAATGCTACAAGGGCCCCAAGCAAACTTTTAAATAAAGGAGGGCAAAATCTCTTGACATCTACTTTCTGAGCCTCCTTTCTCCTAACCCCCCTAGATTCTGATACCAATGGGCAGCAGCAATTTCAAGTTCCCTAAACTAGATAAATTGGTCCTATCCTCCAAAATTGCTCCTTTCCTTCACCCTCAAACATCCGTTTCTAGAAGACCATTCCCAATTATTTCATTATCAGATTATTGCAAGTAAATTCATATTAGTACTAATGACAGTACTAATGACAAAACATCACCCCCTAGATTACTTGCTAATTGCAAAAGAAAATGCTTAGTCTGAAAAGATAGTCTGTCACCATTTATTGGAGAGATCAAATTTAGGATCACTAATAAGATAATGGATAACCCTCCCTTACGTGCCTTCTGATGTTGTATAATGCGAAGTACACTGCATGACTTAAGTATTCTTGCCAAAAATATTAAGCCTGATCTACACAAGCCTTCAGATCTACAAGTTTACAGAAAATATAGGGGATAGAGGTATAATTTGAACCTAATGAAGAGGAAACTGTCAGTAAGATACAGAATGTGGGTTATTCTACAAGACAACTGGTAGTATGGTCTCTTCAAAAAGGGCAATGTCATCCAAAAAAAAAGAGAGAGTGTGAGAGAAAGAACTACACTAAATTAAAAGAAACGTAAACAAATGTAATTAATGCATGATTGGATACTGGTTCCAAGACAAAGGACTAAATAGGACATTTTCTGGACAATGGGGAAAATGTGAATACATACTACATATCTATATTAGATAGCAGAGATTCTTCAAGTATGATTACAGCATTGTGCTTATACAGAAAATTGGCCTTATTCTTAGGACATCCATATAGATATATCAACAGGACTTAGGTGTGAATTGTCATGATATCTGCAACGTGCTCTGAAAATAAATGCTCACCAAAAAGAATGTAGATAGGCAGATAAAGGAAATGTGGCAAAACGGCAACACTTTTAAAAGTAGGTGGCACAAATGAAGGTCCAACTGGGCTATTATTCAACTTTTTAATATGTTTGGATGAAAAATAACATGAAAACTTCAGTTATAAAAAGCCGAAAAGCTAAGAGGTAAACTCTTAAAAACAAAAATATAAAAGGAGTTCAACGGTATTCCTTCATTTTTGTGAGGTGAGGCTCCTTGCTTCTTTTCACTCACCTTATTCACACACACACACACACACACACACACACACACACACACACAAAACGAAACATAATGTAGTGAACTGGGCACTGAATAAGGAATCAAGAGGACCTAAGGTCGTAGAAATGGTTCTATCACTTCCTAGCCATGACCTCATTAAAGACGTCTCCCTGAGGCTCTCTTTCCTCATCTTCGAGAACAGTCCCATAAGCATAGACCAATGCAAAAGGGGTCTTGAGGTAGAAATAGGGCGTGTCAATGTCAGATACAAACGCAAGATACAGACATAAAGGGATCTGTACTGATGCTTTAAGATGTCAAGAGCACAGGGCCCTAACAATCCTCTAAGCACAACAGTGCCTTCAAAGGCACAGCAAGTTTCCCATTAGACAGCCTGAGTTGTCACTCATCCCCCAAGGCAGGACTTCTCACAAATGCTAAGAGGTGGCTTTTGTACTTTAAAAACTCTCCTCCTAGGTTTCAGTGTTAGGTCTAATGGTGCTCGTAGACGTCCAATTCTTAGGACCCCGTCCAAATCTGAAAACAATAAAGTCTAGGTTCACGAATTTTCAAAAAAGCGACTCTTGGCTAACAAAGAGAACCCTCTGGACCGAGGTCTTCCCGTGTGCGCGCAGAAGCGGGTTCACTTTGACGTTGCTCCTCTCTAGCCGATTTCTCCTTAGAAGCCTTCAAACTTGAGCTAAGTTGGGAGAACTCCTTCCATCTCTAGAGCCGGATAAAAACCTCGCAGTGAGCTCATTCTTTCCGTCTAAGTGAAACCCTGGAAAGCTCGGTCAGTCAACTGTGTATCCGACTGCACGTCTCTCCTCAGGGCCCTTCTGGAGACAATAACGGGACAGAGCGGGGGGGGGGGGGGGGCGGGGGGAGTCCCTTTGACAAGCATGAGGGCGTGAGCGTGGGACGGATGACTGGGCACCTGGGCACGGGGACAGGGGCCCGAGGGCCCCGGATGCCTGGGAGTTCGGCACCCCCTTCGGCCTCGGTCTGCCACGAAGAGACTCCGGGGAGCGTTGCTGTGGGGGAAGCATGGGTCCCCGCCAAACATCGGCACAAAATGTACGGCCGACCAAAGGGAGCCGTCTCCAGAGAGAAGAGCCGAGCGCAGGCTGGGGCCAACAGGCGCGCAGGCCCTGGGAGGCGAGGTGGAGGAGGCGGAGGAGGAGACGGAGGGAGAGGCGGCGGGGCCGGCGCGGCTCCGGCCTGCCGCCCCGAGCCGTCTGCCGCGTCGCGCCGGGATCCCTCCCCCGCCGGGGCCGGCGCAAGATGGCGGTCCGGCCGCCGCCGCCGCCGCCGCCGCCGCCGCGCAGCCGGTCCCCTCCCCCGCGCCCTGGACGCTCTCGGCAAACGGCGCCGGCCTCGACACCCCCGGCCCAGCGCCCCCGGAGTGAGGCGGCGCAGGCCGCGCGGGAGGGCCTCTCCTGCTGCAGCGCGGGGCGGGCGGGGGCGGGGGGCGCTTACCGTGAGCGGAGCGGATCGGCCTGACTGGGGCCCTGAGGAGGAGGAGAAAGAGGAGGAGGAAAAGGAGGAGCACGGAAAACTACACAGCGGCGACGGCGGCGGCTCCCATTGCGGAGCAGCAGCTGAGCTGTGGGAAGGGGGGGGGGGCGCTCTCGTGGATCCGCCGCGCTGCCTCATGGGTAGGCTCCGGGTCAGCCTCCGCGCGTCCGGGCTCCCTTTCTTCTCGCCGACGCGGGAGGCGGGCGCGGGCATGTGCGTCGCGGCGCTGCCCTCGAAGGCCGCGGCTCCCCGCCACGCGCCGGCCGGCGGCGAGGGCCGGGACCCGGGACCTGGCTAGGGATGTGGGTGCCCCCCCTGCCCGCCGGCGAGCCCGAAGTCGGGGCTGCACCGCAGCCGAAAGCGTGGGAACGTGAGTTCCGGGGCCTCCCTGGGTGTAGCGGCCAGCGCTCCGCAGGCTTGGCGAGGAAGGGCTAGCAGGAGGGCCGCCCCTCGAGGTCCCGGGCCTGAGGGGCGAAGACGCAGCCCAGAGGAGGCGGAGAGTCGGGTTCTTCCCACAGCTGGCTGATGTTGTTTCAGACGTACGGTTTCGCTGGTGTCTCCTTGAATTCCTAACTCTGCCACTATGGATCCCTGAAATAACTTAAAAAAAAAAAAAAAAAGCTAAAATAAAGGCATTTACAAGAACACTTAGTGAGACACTGCTTGCATAAATGCTACACCTTGTATTCTGGTCCGTGAGGAAGTTTCCTCTCCCACAACATCAGTCTCGCTCCCTGAGATCCTTAAAGCACACAGCCACCCCTGCACGAACCCATCGCTGCATTGTACTCATTCTTCTGTTTGAATTAGTTTCTTCTCTCTCATCCAGACTGCGCCCCTCGCTCTTCTGGGGTGTTGAGCATTAGTCACTTCCTTACTGATTCCCACCCCCAGATCCATCCTAGCCAAGGACAGTTAACTACCCCTAGACCTGGAATGGCTGCAGGTGACCATGACCTGCTCTTTCCCCCCCCCCCCCATCTGTGCCAGGGATAGTCTAATCCAGCTTTCTCTTTCTGGCTGGCCCTTAACGGAAGCTTTACAGGAAAAGAGAGTAATCAAAATAACAGACTGGAAAGCTAATAATTCAAAAATTGTGGCCTATTCTTAAGCCATTATAGTTAAAAGAGTTCTAACGGCTCACAAAGCATGTCACGGTACCAAAATGAACTGAAGGTTTCACTCAGTGTTCCCAGTTTGGTCCCATTTGTAGAGACAGAAATTTACTGTAGTTAGACCCTAGAGCTTATTTACATGGAGGGTATGATTCACACCAACCAGACTTACTAGAGACTGATGTACAAACCAAAATTCACATTTATTCCTTTTTTTCTTTCTTTCATGAGAAGTACATCTGCCCTGAAGACCACAAAACTCTGGTTGACACATTTTCACTCACAGGAAACATTTACATGAGAAGCCAAATTATAAAGGATATCCACTAAGTATGAAATCAACACTCATGAAGTAATTTAGATGATTTTTTTTTTATTACTCCATCCTTAAAACTCCTCCCTTGGCTTACAAAACATGATTCTCTTGGTTCTCTTGACTGCCTGTCCACACTCTTCCTATCATTTTTTTTAATAGTTTCTCTTCCTCTGATTTGCCAATTTTCTGCCCTTTACCCTTCTGTACCTACTCTTTATCCTCACAGTACTCACTCTCCTTAAGTCAGGTCATGCTCCACACTCTTCCGTGGCTGTAATGGATATAGATGATTGCCCACCTTCATTTTCAAAGCTCCATTGTCTTCACCTATGTAATTTAGATGGCATAACCACTACCCACCCCTAATTCCAAGAGTGGTCCAGCCAGCCTGAAACTATTAGAATCACTTTTACCTCTCTTTGAACAGTTTTTATTTCAGAAACCAGTCAGAGTGAAACCTAGGATTTTTGTTTGCTTGTAGGAAAGAGAAGTTCCTTTTTTCTCTGGATGATATGACATTGCCATTAAAATGTAAATACCAGAAGAGCTACAACTTTTTTTTTCTACTAAGGAGAGCCAAATGATAATAAAGCTAACAAATGGAGGAAGAACGGCTGGGTGAATTAATCATGGGGAAAGGAAGTCAACCTCTGAGAGCATCGTAAGCCTCCAAATCAAACCCAATCTGAATCCTGTGCTACCTCTAGACTTCTCTGTTACATGAGCAAATAAATTCTTTTTTCTATTTAAGCTGAAGAGGTCCAGAATAAGCCTCTGTGACATAAAAATTATTTTTAGCTGAAAGCATTTGAGTTTCTGAAATTTCTTATCTGCCTAAAAGCAGAGCCTCCCCAAAGAACTCAATTGTCATAAATCTCCCAGGGAGCAACCAGGGAAGATTGGCTCTTAACCACAAGAGACAATGAGAATTGTCACCACACCTAAAGAGCCATTGTCATGAAACTATCATATCTCCCATCTATTCTCCTAAGGGCCTACTTATTATCTTTCCTAAACGTCATTTGTTTTCCCATAAATGCACTCTTTCCCCCACCTCACTTCCAAGAAGTCCTTTGTTCTCATTAAGTGCCCTCTCCCCTCCCCTTCATCTATTAAAATGGTATATAAGCCCCAAATTTTGTCCACTCCTTTGAGTCACATTTCTTTGTGAACCACCCCCCACCTCGTACCTAGTACGTGATTAAAATCTGTCTTTTCTCTTGCTAACCTGTCCTTTTGTCAGCTTAATAGGCAAGCCCCCAAAAAGTAAATCTAAAAAGGGAGAGAAAAGTTTTCCTCCCTAACAAAGTCAATTTGAGTTAGGTTTTCTGTTACTGGCAAGTGAAAGCATCCTAACTGGTGGAGACAATGATAAATACTCCCCCACTTTACTTTCCTCTTGCATACCCAGGAAACCCACATTTCCTAGTTCCTTTACGTCTCTATCAGGCCATGTAACTGTTTCTGGCCAGTGCATTGTAGAGGCAATGATTTCCCAATCTAAGCCCGACCCTTAAAACCTCCAGTGATTTATAGTTCCCTTCTGTTTTTCACATATCAGTCACCCAGATACAGAAAACTCTGAGGAGCTAGGAGATGGCAGTAACATTAAATGGAAAGACTGTAGGTCTTAATTGCATGGTGCACATCTGACCCTTATTGTACTAATTCGAGCAACATCATATGTTACTGGGTTATGACTGAGAATTGAGGGTTGTTACTAAAACACTAACCCTGATTAATAATAGAAATAGTAGCCTACTGTAACAAAAAATCCAAAATATGTGGCATTAGTTTGGCATAGCAGTCAGGTGGGACTTAAGGAACCATGCAGTAGGCTGGATAACCAAAGATTCATATTGGGCAATGGCTAGACTGTTGCCTACAGTACCTTAGGAAGTAGATCAGTACAAGTACATATTTTCTAGCTCTAAGGCAAGAGTTCAGAAAACAAAATTAATAATAGATGTTGGTGATTTTTTATGTGATTTGCAAAATATTACCAGAAAGAGATTAGCATGAAACAGAATTAATCAGTTTACCAAAAAAATTAAAGAAAATAGAATCCAGCATTTGGGTAGCCTTGAAGTTTGAAAACAATACTTCTAGATTCCAAAGAGAAAGCTATATTTTAAAAGGCTTTGAGCAAGGAAGCCTCAGTAGGATTTAAACAGAATGACTCAGCCCTTAGGAAAAGATCAGATTACACATGTTTCAGATAGTATCTATTGCTTCAGATAGCCTCCAAGAAGGAGCTTTACTGAGGTATAACTGACAAAATTGTATATAAAGTGTACACGATGGTTTGATTTATCCATTGTGAAATGACTACCACAATCAGGTTAATTAACACATGCTTCCCCTCATATAGTCACTTTGCATGTGTGTCGTGAGAAAGCTTAAAATCTACTGTTAGCAAATTTCAAGTGTACAATACAGTATTAGGCTGTACACTAGATCCCCAGAACATATTCATTTTATAACTGAAGTAGCAACTATTAAATTAAGAGAGATTTGATTAAGAAAGTAAAGAAATAAGGCAGTTTTTAGAACCATGTCCGCAGAGGGAATATTGTTTGATGCTTAAACCACACTCTCAGATATCTATCCACTCTTTTGGGGTGCTCCCTTTGCCTCAAGCTTCACTGTGCCTTTACTTCCAACAGCCAGGCTCTGTGGCTCTTCTTCCAAGGACTGCCCTCGGGCTTTTGGAGCTACTTTGCCTGCTTTCACAGAGACAGAAAGTACCCAAGAATTTATATGTCCGTAAGGCCAGCTCTTAACCAAAGACTGATAAATGCGAGAGTGTAGAAGCCCTAACCTCCTTGTCTTGGGTGAGAACTACTTTGAGGCATGACTTACACTCCAGAATTCCCCTGAACCACCAGGCTGAAGCTATCTTTTGCAGGGTTTTTTTCTAACATACCCTCGCTTGTGTGCATGTGAAACTATTATGCCCGCTCCAAAGCCACCCTTCTTAACTCATGTTTGTGATGCTGGGGGCTGTGATTCTGCTTTGCCAGCTGTTCCCTGTTACATTCTGCTAATAGAGGACCCTAGAGGGAGACCACAAGTCTGAAGGAGGAAGAAGGGCCTTGTTCCTTCCTGTTTACTTTGCTTTATGTTTCTGTCTTTATAAATACAGCAGCTTTTTATCAGTCCCAACAGTGACAATTCATTCCCACAGCAAAGACTGAATCTACTCTATGGCTTTCTCAGCACTTGCCAAACTAGTCTCATTGTATCCCCACGGAGATATCACCACAGCCATCCTCACCTGTCCTCAGTGGTCTAGGTTCCAGCTCTATGGTACCTCTGTTCCAAGCACAGACTCCAGCACCAGAGCAGTGCCCTTCTCAGAGGTCTGAGTTTCAGCTCCGTGGGGCCATTCCTCCAAGCTTCTGTTTGCTATGGACTGTACATATGTGTGCCCCCCCCCCCAATTCATGTTGAAACCCTTATCCCCACTGTGATGGTATCTAGAGACAGGGCCTTGGAGAAGTAATCTTAAGAGCTCTCTCTCTCTCTCTCTCTCATTCTTTCATTCTCTCTCTTTCTCTCCCTCCCTGAACCTCCACCCCCACCACCCCTCTCTCAGGCTACAG